TACTGATCATTACCTGAATTGAATTTGCCTAACACTCGAAATAAATAGCTGCATTCATTTGTCAATATTTTTTTTTCTTTTAAAATTTTAAGCTCAAATACAATATTCTATCATAATCTGCTTCATCGATGAAGTAATATATATAAACTTGTATGAACATTGGATATTCATGCATTACGAATGGTAGCATTCGTGTGCAGTTTTTAAATTTTATAGAAAGACGCAAATAAACTTTGAATATATTTATTTTAAAGTATATTATGATCCTGCTTCATAACTGGTAGCAAGTCATAGCTGAATTAATACGATTAAATTATCAAAAAGTAGTATTGTTCAAAATTTAGTATTCTTCAGATAACATTTTCGATGAAAGACGGATCTCTGATTGAGAAACATGAGCATATAGAGGGTGATCGGAAAGGTGAAAACAACGATATTACCGAATGGAAGTTCAAATGCGGGCAACTTGTCGCGGTAAAATGTTATAATTAAAGTAGGATCTATCATAGCTATGGTTTGGTTAATTATGTTCCATCTACATTCGAAATGGCGCCAGAATGAATTGGAATAACAGTCCATTCCATAATATATTTCTGCTGGGACATCATTCAAATATTTAAAGTTTTCATCAAACGCAAAGTCGTTGTATCTGAATGGCAAGAATACATAATAAATCAGATTATATTCAACTGTCAAAAACTATTTTTTTGAAACTTTTTATATAATTGTAGTGAAAGTGGTACTAAGAACAAACAGGTTTTGAATTGAGTTTTGTTTTTTCACCGACAATACGAAGCTTAAAAAAAGAGCTAATAAATAAATAAACTGCAATGAAAATAAACTTTGAAGAAATTCAAATTTCGAATTTAAACACAGGAGTAGCTGACTTTTTAGATGCCTTCAGTTCATTATCTTGACAAAGAAATATGCATGCAAGCTAAAAGTTGGTTCGCTGATGATACTCAAAATAGTGTTGAAAACTGAGTTGATGAAAAGATTGCATGTGGGTGAGCACGGTGCAATCAGGAATGCTGCTGGAAAATTCATTATAGTTCATCCTATCTATCAAAAATTACTTTTTAAATCATTTGAATTGATTGAATTTATTGAATTTGAATATGATTTTTAAGTTAGGCGTGTTTATTCTTACGCTAGTTTTTCTCAGCATCTTTTATTTATTCTTTGAAGAATTTCATCAAAAATGCAACGCAGTTTTCATTTATTTGTGGATCATATTGCAGGAAACTGTTGCGACTGGAAAAGATGGCAAAGAAGTGAAATGGACTAAATATTTCACTAAGATTTAATGTATTTTTCTATGATATTATTGCTTATAATCTGAACCCTTCTCATAAACTGAAGACCATAATCAGAAAACGCCGTTTTTGATTTTTTTTTCCATAGATTATTACAGTATTTAATAAATATCTATGTATGTGTCTGAGATGATACTTTGTATATTTTGATAATGATATTTTACCCTTTCTAATGATTCGTTCCATTAATTATATTTTTTTGAAAGCGTTTGGTAAGTGAAACGATTAAATTAATTTAAAAAAATAAATGTTTTCCTACAAAATTTTATAATTTAGAAAGTAAGTCTTTCAATTCTAATATTTGGAAAGACTGAGTGAGTTGATTTTGATTTTAGCTGAGTTTCGACTGAATACGAAATTTCAACTAGAAAAGAGATTCTTAAACAGCTGTCTATTATTCTGAAGGAAAACTGGATGATTTAGTAGAAAAGATCTAATATTTACGCTATCAAAAGAATATTAGTTATATTACTATATGTAGGGCAAACATTATTTGACATCAGAATTTGAAACGCTAAAATTGGAATATTTTTTGAGCAAATTAAAAAAAATTCATGGGAATACATTCACAAGTGATTATTCACAATAAGATAGATACCTTTCAAATATATGCATCTTAAATTGAGTTTCTACTCAGCTTTGAAATTCTTATCTGTTGAATACGTTTCAAAATTATTAATTGCGAACTGACTCATTTTCGCATCTTATTACTATCTATCACTTTATAGTGACTAGAGCTCTACCAAGTTCTTACTGAGGCTGTAATCATACACAAAAAACTTTATAATTAAGTCTTTATAATTTAAAATATTTCATCAACCTTCAACATTTAAAATATCAATCTCAAAGCTACATTTTTGTTAATTTTTCAGAAAACTAGCAAAAATTCTAAAGATAAATCAGAAATCATTTCATTTATTTATTTTTTAATTGAATAATACTTGACGAGCATGCATTTGAATATAATCAAATGGTATTATCCTTTGTTTTTCGATCATTAATTAAAGATCGAGATGATAGTGATATAAAGGCAATCAAATTTCTCTTCTTTACAATATTTATTAGGGAATTATTTGTCTATCTTTTCGCTATAGCTTTATATAGTATCTGATGTTGCATGTATCAATTCCAAATTACTAATAGTAAATATGAAGCTATGATTTGGACTTGAAGTCATTTTATTTTGACTACTTATCAGTGAGATGCTACAAACTGTAATATTATTTGGTATGAGCGCAAAAGAACTGTTCACTAATTGGATTACTAATTTTTGCTTTTAAATGTGATTGTGATGTAATTCACTGGATCTTGCTCACAATATTAGGAGGGGTTTAATTGAAACTTCGGAAATGAATGTAGTGATTAAACTGGCTGCTAATGTAGAAAACCCATCGAGGCAAAAAACAGAATCAATGAGCTTTTATTTTATAAATTTTGTCGTTCTAAATTCATGCAATAATTTCAACTCTATGAATTTTTCAATTTTTCTTTTCAAATTTGATTGATTAATTGTTAGTATGAATTAACTGATACTCTTCTACTTGCTGTCACCATATTAACGGTCATTTATAGTATTTGAAAGTGGTCTTTTTGAAAAAGCCGGTTTATGTGGCTCTAAAAATTATGGAAACACCCTAAGGAGATGAATAAACATTACCGTATCCATAAAGCCCAAAAAGATCTGCTGATGAATTTCTTGCTAATATATAGAAATTGTAATTAAGAGGGACAGAGAAGAAGTGAGAATCAGAGGAAGTCAAATTCTTTCAGCAACATTCACTTCAGAAATTTTCATTCTATAATTCCGCCCTTTTCAGTCTTTCACCAACTGAAAATTGCCTATTGCCACACCCCTATAATACCACCATTTCTAGGCTTACTTCCAAGTGGATGACATTTTGGTGGTAAGGCCTTAGTTATCTTTCAATTTACACAACCAACAAAGTCTTAATATAATATTTCAGTCTAAACTTAAACCTCCTTTTCTTTCCACTCCAATACAACTAATCATTCCATGACTATCATAATAAATTTGCTAATTTCTACATAAACTCAACAACTGGTGGTTCTGTTATGAATACCTTTCTCTATAAAACTCGCATATTCATGAATAAATCACATTAAAATGTATTTCTTTGCTGCTTCTGTTATTATCTTATTATTTCGATTACAACAAGTATGGAGTGCTTATTTTTCACAGTTTTCCCTACGTGAACCAGAACATGATCCCTGTTATGATCATTCTGGACGCCCTATACGTTGCGTTCCTGATTTCATAAATGCTGCATTCGGTAAGCCTGTTACGGCTTCGAATACTTGTGGTCAAATCGAACCATCTAGGTTGCTTATTTTATTTCATTAAATTTTTCACAATTTAATATTGTGTTTTACTTTTGTCGCTTATATGCATATCCTTTCTAAGTCACAGTAAATGATTTTAAAAATATTACACAATCTTTATAAAAGATCATTCACTTAATGTAGAGAAAAACCCATCTAGGTTGATTTTATTGGTTAGATTTAAATATAATTTGTTCAGCATTTTTTGGTAATGTTTGCTACTTTTTGCTAATGAAAATTTATAGTAACTAGTTTTAGAAATAAAAATTTTAACCTTATTAATGTCAAAACAGAGTTTTTCCGTATAAAAGATTTCATTATTTAAATATTAAGCTTATATAATATATGAAAATTTCAACAGTATCATTGAAGCAGAAATCTTTCTCCAAGTGTTTATTCATTTGTATCGTAATGTCTGACTTGTTTTTAGGTGAGTAAGTATTTATTATTTTCAATAACGAAAGTTTTATATTGTAGTTTTAAACTGTACTGTAGATCTGCTGTCAAAATCAATGACAAATTGAAAATTATTTATTAACTACTAAGAAAGCTTTTCATATCTACAAATTTACTAAAAGCAATAACTGAACTAATTAACAAGTTGGATAACATTAATTTACCAACTTACAGTACTTCTTGTAAGAAACAGTGGATAACATTCGCAACTAAACAAAAATATGTTATTCAAGAGAAAAAATTTAACAATTAGTATTTTGCATTTAAATGCCAAGCGAAGAAAATAAAAAAAGAAAAGATAGAACAAAACAAATGAATTTATTTTTATAATATTATCTAAGGAAGCAGTTTCATGAATAGTTTCTGCAGTTTTGAGCAGTTTCTTTTTTTCATACTCTCATATACAGATTTAACGTTGTAACATTAATCCTGGTTATTTTGACCAATATAACTTTAAAAAACATGTATTAAAATCAAAATACACCACACAGGTACAGTTTTTATCAGTTAACACTTTATTTTTGCACAGCAAAATTTGTAGAGCTAAAAAACGTCATTTTTTCCATATTCACTAAGATCTTTTCTAACACAGTTTTTTTATTATCTCAAATCACTGCACAAAAAAATAATTAAGTTTACGGTGTGATAGTTCATTCAGTCATATCTGGAACTTTTTAAGAATATTATCAACTCTTCTCTGTCTCATCAAAAATTCTCATCAAAATTTATAATTAAACTTTTTACGATCATTAATTAAGAGCACTTTGCAAATGTATTGTTATGTGCTAATTTTATTAGACAAAAAATTTTGCATTTGAGACGAAAACTTAAAAATCTACAAAAGATTAATCAGAAAGGAAAAGAGTATTTGAAAAAATACATTTGTTTGCTAATGTTAGTCAACTTAAACTTAAACTTATAAAAGCAAAATAATAAAGTAATTTAATTTTGGCATGCAAATTATCTTCGAAGTTTAGAGGTCAAATTTTCAAAAAATACTCCATACTGAGGACATAAAAGTGAAAGAATAAGGCAGAGTGCACTCATTTCATTTGTAACATAATAATAGAAAAAAGCTTATTGAATGAAAGACAAAAAGAGGCAAAAAGTTGTTTAATGACACTTTCATAAACAGAAGAGGGATCAGGACAGTTACTGTCTTCCATCCTGCATGTCTTTAGTGTATAGTACTAATCCTTTGATCCTTAATTCCACTTAACCAAAATCATATTTTAAAATTTTGATTCTGACCGTAATTTTCTCTTAATTTTCTCTTATATACAGTATCATTAGCAAGAAAAAAAGTGTGGCATAAATATGTTATCGAATAATTGTTTTGTCATTGCAATAAAATGTTAGTTAAATATTACTGCTTTCCACGCAGTACATTTATATGCCAAAACTTGTGTTCAACGTTTCTGTCTATCATTCAGTGAAAAGGTTAATTGTACACAATGAAATTAAATTTCTTTTCTATTTATGAAAAAAAAAGTCAATTGGCTTGAACTGAATTATGAATTTTAGTTTTTTCATTTTTTGATCACACATTTAAATTAGCTTGCTTCTTTACAATTATTTTTGGCATTAACTAAGATAATGTTTTGCAACAAGTAGAAAATGAATTTTTCCTACAGAATTCGTTTCAGACATTGCTTCTTACGTGAAAATGCTATGGGAAAAACAGAAGAAATATGTGACATATGTGATGCATCAAGCAAAGTTAAATCTCATCCAGCTTCTCATCTAACAGATTTAAACAATTCTCAAAATGTGACTTGTTGGATGTCAGAACCAAGCACTGATTATCCACATAATGTTACTTTGACCTTATCACTAGGGAAAAAATACGAGCTAACATATATTTCAATGCAATTTTGTAATCGTCTAGCTGATTCTATGGCCATTTATAAGTCAATGGATTTTGGAAAAACCTGGATACCATTTCAATTTTTTTCCACACAATGCCAAAAAATCTATGGTCGAAATCCGAATATTAAGATTGGGAAGCAAAATGAACAGGTAATATTATAATATCACTGAGGTTAAATTTTGGTAATTAATTTCACCATTTCATTAGCTAATTGTATAGGAAGCATTGTGCACTGATAGCCATATTTTGGCATCAATGCCGAATCGCGTAGCATTTGCAACTTTGGAAGGCCGCCCATCAGCATTTGAATTTGAACAATCACCTGTACTACAAGATTGGGTCACTGCGACTGATATTCGTGTTATATTCAATAGACTAAGTCCTGATCAGGTGAATTGAATTAATTTTTATAAAAGTGTGAAATCTTTACTATTACTTTAAATAAACTGCTTTTTTTACAGTTGTCAAATTTATTTCATTCATAATAATTTTTATTCTGAAACATGTAATTAAATTCTACTGATTTATGAAAAACGGCTGAAGCAATGATACCAAAAATTAAGAAACTAGTAATCCACATTATAATCTCAGTAAAGAGAAGAATGCTTGCAATTTTGATTATTTTATTTGTTTTAAAATTTATGTTAATAATTTCAGCAAAATATGTTTACCTTAATAACTATATAGAATAACCTAATATGGCGTTTGGCGCTTTCTTCAATAAGCTTAAAAAAAACGGTTTTCAAATGTAGGCAGAGTTATATGGTTTGACGAGCGAGATAGGAGTAAATATAACTACTATGGACCAGTTAAAACAACATTATTATTATTCTGTAGGAGAACTGGCTGTTGGCGGTCGTTGCAAATGTAATGGCCATGCTTCGAGGTCTAAATTAATTTTTCTTACATATATATGCATGTATATAAGCTAGTAATTTTGAAAATAAGTCAAAAAAATTTTAATGTTATTTCGAACTTCGAATTAATTTTTTCGAACTTGATAAAATAAAAAAAATGATTTATGTTATTGAAGTGCATCACTTTGAAGGTGTATATTGGACGTAACGGGCAATTACATTTGTGATTGCAAGCACAATACAGCTGGTGCAGACTGCGAGCGTTGCAAGCCATTTCATTTAGACCGCCCGTGGGGTCGCGCCACCTCGGAAAATGCCAACCACTGCGTCGGTAAATTATTTCTTCCGGGGGTTTTTCTTTTTTTCTCAAAATACGAGAACTAATACTTCCTTGACACCACTTTGTAATAGGAGGACAGATGACAACAGTTTCAAAATTTAATTTAAACATAATTGAAGGAAAATATTGCCAAGTGAAAAATTGTTGAAATATGAATCGAACTTTTCAGTACCTAATAATATCATTTACAACTTGTAAGGGAAATTACCTGTACGATGTTTTGAAATAACGTAAATCTGGTTATTATTATTAAAACTATTACTTTTATTAAATTGAATTTTTATAACAGCTGAAAACCTACAAATTCTTTTTTGACTGGATAAAATTATATTGAGTAAAAATCATTTAAAAAAATAGCATTCATTTATGTCAAGGTTTTAATTTTCATGACTTTTGTATGACACTATGCATGCAGTAGTAATAACATGAGGTCAGTTTTTCTGCACTGATTATTACCGGTAGGTACTGAACAATTATTGATAAAAATATCATTACCATATAGATAAGATCTTCAAGTAGACGATTAATTCATTAGCATACTCAAGAAAAAATGAAATGAGCGGCATCTTTTTTTTTAAATTCATTTAGCAGTTCTATGGGAGAACACAGAAGAAAGGTTGGTAATGTGGGCTTAACAGCTCTTGAAGGTTAGCTCAAGTATAAATGCTTATTTTAATGCCACTTCACAGACAAAAACAATACCTTTTCAGGTTCCGTAATCGTTGATTGTACAGTCACTACCACCTCTTTACCATTTTTTCATTACCCATCTTTCACTTATAAATCACATGAATAATAGATGATACCTCATAAGAATTGCACTGAACCATAAAAAGTAGCATCAATTATTCATAACTGAAGATCACTAATGCAAAAGTGTTTAGAAATATTGGCTTCAGTTGGAGGTTCAATTTTAAAATTACCAAAAAAATAAGCAGTACTATTTACAAAGTTTTGTTTACACTTATGATAAAAATGGCTTAATTCGTTTATCATCATGTAATGAAAGTTGAGAATTGCAATTTCTTAGGGAAAAACTAAGAAGTAAAATTTTTAAATATTGACTCAGCAAGTATCGAATTTGGCTTGATGTTGTAAAATCATTAGTAGATGCGTTGTAATAAAATTACTAAATAAGGAAAACAAATAAGCTAACACCGATTACTACTAACGAACTAAAGTTAGATAAATAAGATAGTAAAAGTCACTAAACCATAAAATATTCTACATACGCTGGATGTATTGTTTTTTCATCAGCAATTGCTTTCTTTTTTTCCCAACTTTTCTTTAACCATGATAAATTGAATATCGCAAAATTATGGCACAAAAAAGGTGACAACAATTTTTATTTAAAATTTGTGATTTCATAGTCTAAAATAAGAAATACTGCTAAAACGTAAATGTAATAATTTTAAAAAATTATCAGATATTCTACATTTTTCTCATACTGATTGCTCAACAATTTCTTGCAATACTAGCTAAATTTTGGTTATTAGCAGCTTTTTCAGTGAGAAATAAAGGTGCAAAAACAATATTGACAGATATCTGCTCACGTATTTGTAATTGACATTTTTTTGTTCACAAAAAATGAACCAAAAATACTGTGTGCATATTTATGTACAACTTTGTAGCAAAATTAAGATTTAAATTCAATGTATAAGATATTCAACTTTAAAGGTTTTTTTTTTCGCGGAACTCATATTCTATGCTTTTTGCTTGAAAAATGCAATTTATAATTAATGTTTCAGCTTGTAACTGTAACTTGCATGCAAAGAGATGCCGATTTAATATGGAACTGTATAGACTAAGCGGTAACAAGAGTGGTGGCGTTTGTATCAATTGCAAACACAACACAGCAGGCCGTAATTGCCATTATTGTAAACCAGGATATTTTCGAGACTTAACTAAGTCAATAACTCATCGAAAAGCTTGCAAAGGTATATTTTTTTAACGATATAAATTGCATTTAAAAATCAGAAATAGCCGTATATCGAAGAGAAATGATTTAAATAAAATTTTTATGGGTAGCAAATGGTCTTATTTTGGTGAGAAATTCGTACTTATTTTTATTTGCTTATTTCTCCATTACTTGAAGCTTATTTTTACTAAATTAAGAAACTAAAAGCTGTTCTATAAATAAGTATGGAAATGACCCGCTTGCTTTTGTCCATCCACTTTTTACATTTTCTTAAAGGGAACTAACTCAATTTCATTCTATCTTCAAGAATAAATTGAGTAGTTCATTAATTGAGCAGCTTCAATAGACCGATAATATGGAAAGATTTCTAGTATCAAGGGGATGTGGAATGATTGTGACAGGAAATGAAAGGTGACGTTTTGGACAGAGTTTTGCCAATCTCAAACTGGTACTTAATTTCCGTCCTCAACACTTATCACGGAAATGGCTTAAATAGCTATCATTCCAACATTTTATCACATTATTTATTATCTTTATCTTGAATCAACATTTATTAGCTGAACGAGTCATTTTTACCTTTCACTCTAAACTATTTTCATTCTTCTTTCTTAAATTTAATTTTAAAGAAGTTTATAAAATTCATTGCATTTATTTCAATCCATTAATCTAAAATGCATTTACTGATTCAAGTGTAAGCATCCAAAGATGCTTTACTTTTCAATACTTCCACTTAGGTAATGTAGTCAAAAATGGTTAGGAGCTTTTTTTTTTTTCGACACTTTTTTCGTCGAAAGTGATTCTAAAAATTGCTAGGAATAAAAAAAAAACCCTTCTTTATTATTGTTTCATGGTTATCTCAAGATAAAAAATAATCTCAGAAAAGATAATTGAGTTGACTTTATTAGTTATTGAACGTTACAAAAATTCTACAATTTTTACTTCATTAACAATACTGCTTTGCTAGATAAGTAAGCAGATTAATCAGAAATTACAACAACAAAACAAATCACTGAATTATACAAATAAGTACTGTTTATGCGAAAGCGAATTCAAATAATTTATAATATATGTTACTTTCTATCCACTTCATCTTTACATCTTGAATAAATCTGTAAATATTTCATTACCAACCAATATTACTTGACTGAATTAGTAATTCTCGTTCCCACACAATTCTATACTCTATATCGGGATTTTAAATTCAAAAACTCCTCTTTTTGCTTGTACTTCAATTCTTATAATCAGAAAATTAATAATTATAGTCATGTTGTAAACAATCTAATAAGTAACTAATCACATTTATTATGTTACAAAAAAACCAATGGTTTGGTTTACCAATTTGTATAATATAATATTGATATAATTATGAAAATGTGATGGATACTTGAAGGATCGTTATTAATCAATCATTATGCACAATTAGCAAATTGAAAAGCAGCTGCTGATTGCTGAGAACTGATGTGTGAAGTAATATATCCTCCAAAGAGAGTGAAATAAATTACTTTATTTGTTGAAAGAATGTGTCTAAACTTTGCATCATATTTTCCATGTTGTAATATCTTTTATGATATAAACATTAGAGTTTGCTAGTAAATGTGAATTAAATACTCATTTAGGGATCGTATTGTTTACTCTTGTTATTATGAACTTTGAAAAAATTTAAACAATAAGTAATATCAAAGGCCATAACTAAAATGAGAAAAAGTAAAAAAAGAGGACGATACTGATAAGTGCACACTTTCGTTGTACCTTTCAGTTGTTGCATAGTGATGAATATAGGATACAGATTCTACTTCATTTCTCAAAAGAATAGAAAAAATATAGTCATGAATTTGAAGTTTTAAAATTTTAGCATGTAATTGTCATCCAATTGGTTCGTTATCAAGAAGTTGTAACCAAAGTAGTGGACAATGTATTTGCAAAAATGGCGTAACTGGTTTAACTTGCAATCGATGTTCAAAAGGATATCAGCAAAGTCGTTCACCAATCAATCCATGTATTCGTAAGTTCAATTTTTTTACATTTTTTCTGTAGTATTTAATTACTTATTAGTTTCTGGTTATGAGGATTAAGCTAATTTATTGTCAATATTTGATCCATAATTTAAAAATTTTCACTGAAATATAAAAGGTATAGCGAAAAATTTCCAACAAATTTTTCACTTTCAATATTTATAAAGATGATATAATGCAGAAATGTAATAATTTAAATTTAAATTTTATCAAGTAAGTAACTGACTGAAATGCTCTTAAACACTTCATAATTCCATTTGTTGCATTAAAATTGAAGGAAAAGAAATGTATTGAATAAGTAGGGAGATGGGTAATGTGTTGTTTGTGGTTACGATAGGAATGAAGGATGATGCATCTAACCACCACAGGAATAAATTACTGCAATCAGCTTAAGGATAAATTTACAAAAGAGATGAAAGAAAATAAAGGATAGAATAGTGAATTGTGACAACAGAGAATTCATTGTTCCTAATAAGACGAAAAAAGAATAAGGGATTCTTGATCTAAACCAGTACCATTCTATGTCATGGCAAGCTAGTGACTAATATGTCAGTCATTTAGTCACCATCATAACTGTTATAGGAATCAACTTGATTGATATTCATTATCTTTCACAGATAATAAATAAACACCACTTTTTTCATGCTGATATTCCTTCTTCATTCTCACCACATCTTTTTATGGCCCAAATTTTATGACGGGATTGAGTACCTCTTGATCCATTCTCGACCCCCCATCTCAAACTCATTCATATTTTATATTAAAAATAAAATCAAAATGATGACTATTCTGCCTCTTAATAAAGGGAAAACAATTCAGATCATAATGAAATTTAAAAATTTTTGACCTGTCATTACACATGTTCTATTCGGAAACCGACAATTTTTTTTACTCTCCGTACGTATCGTAATCTTTTTATCTGTTTTTAACATTAGCGAAATTCAGTCATGAATTCTAGTTTACTTTTCAAGTCTAGTGCAGTGGTTGGCTTTGAAGTTAACTTTTTACCTGCATATCCTCATAATGTCAGGAATATGAATAATACTTTTAATAAAAATCAAATGATTTTTGTACATTTTCAGGTACTTTCATAAGTGAGCCAACAACAACGCAAGATGGTAAGATTTTTATGAAAAAGTCATTGTGAAAAGTAATCATTATTCAGTTTAGATAAATGAATAATGTTCTAGAATATCACAAAATAAAATCAAATTATTTTCCAGCCAAATGCCCCAAATGCAGAGCTGTGCCAAAACGATTAACTCTGAAAAAATACTGTAGAAGAGATTACGGTAAATTTTTTATTTTTATTTAGTTTTTTCATATAGTGTGTGCTTGATAAATGTACATAATATTAGGGAAATGTGTTTTAAAAAAAAGTTATAATGGTATTAACTGAATGTAAGCACAATTTCAGCGATAGAAGTACAAGTAACTGGGCGCGAAAGTGTAGATGGATGGAGCAAATATCGCCTTATGGTATTGGCAATTTATAAACGTGAATCTGGTATTCGTTTACGTCGCGGTGAGCAGTCACTATGGATATCTACTAAACGTACAACTTGTAAATGTCCTAAAATCAGAGTAGGAAGAAAATACCTTATACTGGGTTAGTTTGAATTAAAAACGACCGAATATTTATTTCGAATTTAAAGTTCGATTTTGAAAAAGTCTTTGATACAGTATTTCATTTATTATGGATTCATTTGGGAAAAATTGATAATGAATTATGAAGCCATACTTATTCCGAATAAGATTTTTTTTTGTATTGTTATCAATTATTTTGTCATTTTATACGACTCGTGAAGCAAAAAATTTTGTAGGTCGAAATGATACGAATGATATAAGTCGCCCGGGTATTGTTTTTGGGACAAGAACTGTTGTTTTGGAATGGAATGATGATGATTTGGAGAAAATAATGCGGTTTTCCAAAAAAGAAAAAAAGGGTCAGTGTCCGGCGAAAAGAAGATTTTGAATAGATTTATTTGACTATTGCAGCAAACACTTTGGAGTGAAATCATAATTTGTATTTGGACTTGAATGTAATAATTTGCTTTGCCCCACTTCTGCGCTTACACAGGATAATACAAACTATTACTATTTAGTATGATGATTACGATTTGGTCTAATGTAATCTAACAGATTGTTGTCAAATTCTATGCCAAAAAATCTATCCTTTCCTTCGACATCAAATTCCTTTCTACTCCTATCGCTTATATAACACTGAAAATATATATAGCTTGAAAACTGCTGTAAATTGCATGCTTTTGCACAACCTTATTGTAATGAACATATATCCATATTTTCTAGAACGGAAATGTTACTATAAAACGGAGTGATCTCACAATGAAAGCAAAACAACGTCTAACAGAAAATCCACTGTTGACCTCTGTTAGCATTAACAAGTCACACCTAGAGCAGACTAGCAAATTATATTCTTTCTTCTGAATTGTGCAGTACATCAATTTGTACTAGGCTCGGATAACTCTTGCTGATATCTTTTGCAAAAATTTGCATGCAAATACAGTTTTGTGCATCTCGCTAGTCGCATGATAGTTCGTAATCGCAAATGATGACGCACAAGAGATGCAACATACTTATTACATTGATCTCATCCTGCTTCTATCTAATTAAGAATTGGCTTGCCACCAACTTAACTGCCAAAAATTTTCACTGTCATGTATTTAATTTGACATATCAAATAAAGATCTTTTCTCACAATTTTAAATATGCAAATTTCTTTCCTTCTACTGATACTATTTCAAATAATAATTCATTCAAAACAATTCCCTTTAGTAATTTTAGTGCGAAACATAATTATGACCAGTTTGTTTCTTCATTCTATCAGCTTTCTATGTACGAAATTTGATTTGAAAGCCGAGAAAATGTATCAATAGACTCCCAATATACAGATCACTGAACAGTACCACATAACCAACTATGAGATTAATAGTACAACTAGTAACGGTAAGTACGCAATATGCATTTCCTGTAATCTTATATTACTTCAAATAATAAAAAGGAACTATGGATTTTTGTATTTACATATAGTGTTATCATACAGTGACGCGAAAATCCAGTACCACATTTTAAAATCCTAAAATTTCTAATACTTTCCTCTCAAGCTCTCATTACACTGGAAATTCTAACTACCGCATGATTACCCAAAATTACAAATTCCGCTTCATTTATTGAAAAATTTTAACAGGTGCAATACAATTCAAAAGAAAATGAGCAGAAAGTCAAAAAAAAGTTTTTTTTGTGTCGTTCTTATTTATAGCACAAATGATCATTTTGAAAAAGGAATATGTACAAACGGAACAATGAGTATTGAAAAGAATCAAAACAGTGATAGTGAAAAGGTGGATGATGTGAAAAATTTGTTCATATACTACTGTCAGTTCCAGATTTAGAATTCAATATTCCTAATAAATTCAACAATTTTTCGAACTTGCTTTTATTTTACTTTAAAAATAAAATGCCCACCTTTCAGTGATTTATGATTCACTTACATTGAAAAAAGCGCTAGTTACTGAACTAAAAAATATGCAAAAAACGGGAGGAACTGAAAATTCACGAATTCCTTATAAGTACAAATTACTAATAAGATAATCCATCTGTTTACAGCAAAACTAAATTTACTGAGTGCTATCACAATCCGTAGTTACTTTGACACGATAATTTTATTTTGTTTAGTCAATCTTCTTCGTAACTTCTTCAAACGTATCTTGATTTGCTTCACTGATTTTCTTGGACTCAGTCGTACATCTAAAAAACAGAGAGTTTACATTCCTTCATTACATTCGCTACAGAAAATTATTCACAAAGTTTAAAACAGTTACAATTCAGTTAGTCTAAAATATACAACTTTTTTAAAATTTAGTTTTTAAAACGTGATTCTCGATATCTATTAACTAAAAATATAACATACAAATGAACCAGAAATTTAAAAACCGCTGACCTTCGTGTTTGCTCTCCCAATTCGATTCCAACATTCTGGCTCCAACCAGCAAGCTCCTTTGTTCAATTATGTCAATCAAAAGTTCCAAAAGTTCAGCTTCACGTTTGACGTCATCTGAACTTTTGTCTAACCCTGAATATATTCAACTGTCACGAAACGTAAAATCTTATAAACCTATACTAGTAACAATTAACATGGCTTTAATTTCTGATATGTGCAACCTTCTTCATCTTCTATCAAAAGTCGCAGTTCCAATTCTGTTTTAGCATGAATCTGATCCAAAAATTTTTCCATCAACCTAAAAATTAAGAAAATATAGCTTCGATTCTGCTCTGCAATTGAAGAATAATGCTACGTTATAGCAGAGAAACACATGTATTAGATTTTGTAGTGGCAAGAAAAAAATATTAGAAACAAGAATTAAGATAGTGAAATCAAACTTTTTGATGCAAATCGTCTGCTTTCGAAGTAGGACGCAATGGTTACCAAATATATTTATCCACTGAGAAATATTATCATTGTTATGCCATTCCTCACCTTCTGCAAAAAAGTATATGTTGAGCAGTAAGATTATACTAACTAAACTTTATGTTCGGAAACAAATTCTACAAAACGACAACAAGTGAGAACTCACTTTGTTTCATAATTACATACAGTTGTTCTTCTAATGCTGTTCCTTGCGATTCTGTTAAACTCAGTTGTTCATTCAAAAGATTCAGAATTTTTTCGATCGAACTAATAGACATACTATCGTAATTCTCTTCGGTAAAATTGATCTAATAATGACGTTGAAGTGAACCTTTGTTCCAATTTGATTGAAATCAAGCTTTATAAAAATAAGCACAAAAATACTAAATCTTTATTTACTTTACATCACAGGTCACTCGCTCATTACTTTCTTGAATGGAAACCCATTTACATGACAACTCATAAAATATATGCTAAGAACCAGAGATAGGCAAGCTACGACATATTGAGTTAAAAAACAAACAAACAAAAGTCCACTAATGAAAAATATAAAAATTTATTTTATGCACAATTCAAGTACTCAGAGAGTACTTACCACAGCACAATTAACATCTGATGAAAATGTACTGAGTTCTTTAATTGGTAACGAGTGCATAACACGCGGTGGTTTTGGAGGAGGTGGTGATGGAGGAGGAGACTTCGGGCGAGTTTTTTTAGTACATGAATTTGAAGAGAACCTGAGAATTCGGGAATATGAGTGATAATTAGTTCTGATATTTACATCTTTAAGAAAAACAAATGAATAGTTGAATTTATCAGTAACAAAGTAGTTTTTCAATTGCGTTGGAACAGACCTACAGACTCGGGTTAAGCTGTTGTGCTCGGGGATAGAATTTGCATTACTGAGATCCAACTCACATGGATTTGGAGAATAACCATAGTCGTTATTTTCACTTTTGCAATCCTTTTTGCAAATAATCACGATAAAAACAAATTAAGGTAATTCACGCAGAAAAATTTGATTCTGTAACACATAGAAAGGGAATAAAAAATATATACGAAAAACTGTAAGCTTACTTTATTATCATCAAAGCCAAATGAATTCGAAGTATCTGTGTAATCATTTACATTAGTATGAACTGCAGTAACTTCAGGCTGAACATCATCTTTTGAAACTGCAATAAAATGCCCCCCACTTTGTTCTCCCAAATAAGCTTGCGATAACTGTATGAAGCTTTTACGCTTCGGTCTTGGTGGTGGTACAGGACGTGTTTCTGAGCTTGAACAAGATGCTTCCTTCCTGGCAGAATTGATTCTAGTAAAGATTTGAGAAGGAATAGAATTTTGTTTCATGTCATGAGATTGAAGCAGATTACATTCCATTTCATTTGAAGATTCATTATTTTTCTTGCTGCTTGAACAGAAAGCATAATTTTGTTTTCTTAAAGAAACAGGTTTCGGTGGTGGACGAGGTTTTACAGAGCGGAACTGCACTTTTTTCTGGATCTCTTTTGCCAACACAGAATATGGTAAATGTGTGTAGCAAACGAGCGCTCCATTTTGATTGCGGTATGAAAAACGATGCAATAATTTACCGCATTCTGAGCAAATGAAACATTTTCGATGATACACTTTCTGGAATGGATTTAAAAAACTAACAAACTAATTTTTCATACACAATAACGGAAACTACTTGAATTCAAAATCCCTGACCTTCTGTGCTATGAGACGTTCAATGAGAAACACGTGTTCTGAGCACAAAGAGCAATTATGGATTGTAACATCATCATTTTTGCTTCCTTCCATCACAAATTTCATTTTCGGTACAGGTATTTCACTGAGAATTTCTGCAAAATAGTTAAGAAAATTAACATATGGAAAACACATGACAATAAAGTTGAAAACCATGCAACCAAAATACAAATAATTACTTGGTTCAATTTGAGTAGAATTTTTAATACAAAGAACTGCAGCAAGCACAGCTAAATGAATATTTGGAGATGAGGGTCGTATATCAGCTTCCATAACAATAAAAGGGATGTTTAATACTTCCTCCGACATTTGCTGCATCTATTTAAACATTCAAATAAAATATACAGGAAAAATTTTACTAAAATTACTTGAACAATATGAGCTACCAACTTTTGCCCTGTATTTTTATTTATTAACGAACTAAATGCTTGTTAATGCCTTATCTAATATGCATGAATAAATATTAAAATATTTTGATGCGAATAATTATTAAACACACCGAATTGAAACTGATTTCAAATATAGAGTCTAAGCCATAATACTGCTTCCTGCAATATCCTTGGTATTTAAGGATTTAGAACGAAAAATTAATAAGCAGCATGATCAAATACTATCTTAGGGCAGTTCCAGCATCAACAACACACTCATATATAAGATGTCACCAACTCCAATATCATAAACAAAAACCTCTGATTCAATGAGTCCACGAGCAATTTCGATAACAAATCCATCACAGCCTTCCAGTTTCCATTTATCCACGGTGCTGGGGCTGTTCCAGTTTGTTCCATCCATTCCGTAATTGACTTCAGCGCCATCAATGCTAACTAATATTATGAGTATTATTGAAGGTGAATAAGAGGAAAAAAAAAGAAACCAGCTTGTTATAAAATCTTTTCATTACTTTGTGCAAAACAATTTACACAAACACAACATACAAACAATTATTCCAGACAACTGCAGCCACATTGCCTTTTAAGGCATATTTTGCAAGTTCGTCTTGAACCTGAACCGCGTTTTCAAGGCGGGAAAGATTGCTTGCATAGATTTATGAATCTAAAATTCAAAGTTTGTATCATTGTAAAAGCATGAAAATTTCTATTGTGAAATGCATTATAATTAACAACAAAATTTAGCTATTGCTAATATGTATTACTGTTAAAGTTATTCGTCATGCTACAACTGTGTATTTTGCATTATATCTTCACTGGAAAAATGTGGTTGCTAGACTATTTTGATTTCCGTACGTAAGGTTAATCGTCATCCCTATAAACTTTCTATTAATTCTAGGAAGTTTGTTAATAGTATCGAAAGTGATTAATTGATGGGCTTGAGCACTGAGCTGTTTTAGACTACTATGAAAAAAAAAAGAGTGAGTATCGAAATTATCCAAGATATAGACGTTCTGGCTTGGGTTTTGCTACCGCGGGTTCATTTTGTCAAACATCTAAAAGTAGTTTTAAAAGCAGTTAATGATGCTCTATTCTAGAATAGCAATCATTTATGTACGCAATAAAATGAATGACTGGTGTTCCTTGAACAGTTGTGCAGAAAATAAAAAGGTCTAGCTAGTTTAGTCTTGTAGCCTTTCAAGATAAGTTTCATATAGGACTTATATAGATACATATATTCCTGTCATTTAACGAAAGTTTTGCAATTTTGTAGTTTGGTATTAGCTAAAAAAATATATTTTCGACGAGAAGCTTGTATTAACATCTTGATGAGATGAAGAAAGCAAAAGTTAAAGTAGGACAAGCATTTTCAAAGTGATCCGTGAAGTGCAATGAAACTAGCAAAATTTGTTAGTTTGTATTATTATTATCGTTTGTATTGGGTTGTGGGATTATCCTTCAAGATATTATTCATGGCTGATGCTTGTAATTGACTATACTGGGAAGGTTATATTGGAGTCCATATTAATAGAATTTTTGATGGTTAAGTGGTGAAAACCGCGTGAACTCTCTTACAGGATTTGTTCTGACAAATTCGTAAAATATTGTAACTCTATGGTAAAATATTTTTTATATCCTGAACACTAGCAATTACTTTATTAATCTCATTAAAAGAGCATTTGCAAACTCAGAAGTCCGGATATTCTGAAATACATTGGTAAATTTAATGGTTTCTTTGCAAAAAGCGACTTAACATCGAATGTAGATTTTAATTTAAAAAAATTAAAAAAATTTTGCTAAATTGAAGAGTTTTTCAGGGAGGAAGTGATACCAGTAAGCTGCGCAAATCATAGTATCGTTCGTAACTTTTCATTGCTAGTTTACCAATTCTAAGAATGCGTGGCAAGAAGGGTTCATCTTCGAGGAATTCTCCATCTTTGCAAGCTTCTGATAAATCTCAGAAAAAAGAATACTCTGTTGTCAGTAAGCAGAGAACAATATTTATTGTTGCTGTTCTTGTTCTTGTTCTCGCTGTTGGTGTCCAGTATGTCTATCACTATTATTATTATTTGCCTTACCATATTTCTTTGAAATCTGGCCTTCCTACTGTTAGTAGTGATAATGATCCGGTTAGTTTTTACGAAATGCAGTAGTGTTTCTTTAATGTGTATAAAATGAAGTATCAGTAATTTGATATTTAAATTTGTTGTATCGCTATATATATATAGCGAAACATATATATGTACTAAAGTAATTAATATACAGCGAATGTGGGGCACATACCTTTCTCATCTATATTTTGGTTTACGAGCTCGGTATGAAACGTCACCACTTTTTGGTATGATGTGGTATCGACAACAAAAAATTGACAGATGGTTTCCCGAAATACGACATCACTGCGAACAGGTTACATTTATCACCGTTTTTTTTTTGCAGTAAAATTTTTGCATTGAAGTTAAAAAATAAACTTCAATTGTATTTTCTGACAAAAAATGCATTAATTTAAGGGAAATGGAGTTTCAAGATATGCATGGACATTGGCTGATGGGCGTTCATTCGGACGACAAACTATACGCGATGAACCGTTAGATATTTTTACTGACTGGGTAAATGATGGACCTGTTTGGACGGCTCGTGTTACTACCGTCTCAAATGTTGACTCAGATTTCGCGCTGTTATTCTACTTTTTTCTACAGGTGTTTTTTAATTACAATATAGTTCAAAAAATATAGCCTCCTTGTTGTAAAACGAAAATCAAAAGTAGTTTCATTTGCAAATATAATTGGAAGCTCTTTTTTTCAACTGTTTTGCAGTTATCTGGTAGTTCCGAATTTATTTCTGAATGTATTCATTAGAACTTATAGGACGAAAGTTCCAAACTGCATGCATTTTATAAGCATGGGGAATTGGATTATTTCACGGGAGAGTCAAATATACTTGGGAATTTCACCGTCAATATAGAAACAACTGTAAATCATACCTCGAAATCATTTCTCGCTAAGAAGACAACACATCTTTTGGATATCAGTACAATAAAAGTAAATTTTAACTACCAGGTCTGCCAACCATAATATGGAGAGCAATCTTACATTTTAAATTTGGGGTATTTATGTCATCACACAAACATCATATAAATACCTCATATTTAGAATACCATTTTTTAAATGTATCTTGATGGAACAGGAAGTTGCAAAGCTTTGCGTTTTTTGCAAAATTTAAACATAAATTACCTTGTAAAGTTTTTCTTTTTGCAGCGGGAATATTTCAGGACATAGTGTTGTCTTCAACTGTTATTGATCATTCCCGTCATCTGCTGCGTCTTCCGAGTGCACATATTCCTGAAGGCAGTGTTCCTGAAGATGAACCTTGCTTCATTATATTGCAGCTCAACATTCCATCTAATTCATCAACAGAAATTTCGTTCTCAGTGGATGGAAAAAAAGCCATTCGAAGTTAGTTTAATGTAGTGGATACTTAAACTAGTTTAAAAATTCGAGGAAAACGAGAATTTAGAGATTTTGTCAGGATTAACTTAGTGTGTTTCGTTTCGTCATTGTGAGAGTTTTTAATAATTTCATTATACTTAGGAGACGATTTTTCAAATTTGCTTCAAGAAAGAGTTGAAGAGTACGAAAAAAAATTTGAAACCACTTATGGCTTGTCAGCAAAGGTATGATTTTAATTAACTGTAAGTTTTTGAACATATAGTATTGTAAGGATTCACATTTAATTAATCTTGAAATGTTTTGTGATTTTAAGAAATATTTTTATTCTTTGTCGAAAATTTTCACTCTTCTATTCTTTTGCTTGTATTTTTAAAAACAGAATCACTAAATTTAGGGATATCCAAACTTCTATCAAAAACTTGGAAGAATTGCTTTATCAAATATGTTGGGTTCAATTGGCTACTCTTATGGGCGAAACCGCGTACAGGGCAAATATTCTTCTAAACCTTTACTTTATGGCCCTCATTCTTTGCTGTCAACTTGTCCTTCACGTTCTATGTTCCCACGTGGATTTTTATGGGATGAAGGATTCCATCATTTGCTTTTCAAAAAATTTGATCCAAATTTATCACTAGAAGTTCGTACAATAATTTTATTACTATCTTGGTTACTCTCTTAGATTTTGAAATTGCAATATTAGGAGTTAGTTTTATCATTCGACTTTTTTTCCTTAAATAAACCACATTTCGAAAATCTGGGATTCTTTTTAAAATGGAGAATTTCATTGATACATTTCTCTAGCTTCACTTCCATTAATTGAGTTTTGAACAGATAGTTGCATCATGGTTGGATACAATGAATATTGATGGTTGGATACCGCGAGAAATGATACTTGGTAAAGAAGCAGAATTACGCGTACCTGCTGAATTTATCATTCAAAGAGATACTATAGCCAATCCGCCAATGATTCTCTATTTAATTGAAAAATACTTAGACAGTGCTCATGTGAGAATCATTTATATGATATATAAAAATGTTTCTCTTATCCATTTTCTATGGACAGTCAAAAAAACTAAGTCTAATGTAAGTATTTTTAGGATATGAAAAACCATCAAGAAGTACTCAAAAAATTTTACCCACGATTAAATCTTTGGCATAAATGGTTAAATTCCACTCAGATTGGAAAAGTACGAGGTACATATCGTTGGCGTGGACGGATAGAAACAGACGTTGAACTAAATCCTCGGACATTACCGAGTGGTCTTGACGACTATCCACGAGCTACTCATCCTACTGATGATGTATTTTTGATAGGCTTCACTTCCGTTTATATGACATTAAAGTTGAGTATTAAAGGTCTTGTAACAATTTCGAAATTGAATATGTTATGTATGTTTGCAGGAATACCACATTGATTTGCGTTGTTGGATGGCTCTTTCAGCTCGTGTCCTTTCAAAGTTAGCCAAACTCGCTGGTGATTCACAGAATGAAGCTCTTTATTCAGCAGATTATGAATACCTGTCAAACGTAGATCTTTTAGACGAGCTTCACTGGAGTAAAACGAAGAAAATGTGTTTTGTGAACCTCATTTAACTCTTGTTGATAAGTTGTTTGTTATATAGCATCATTTGAATAAGCTCTTTTAAAAATTTTACTTAATCATCAATCTGAAGTCAGAAGATACCTTTGAGTTTTTAAATTGTTAGAGTAATTCAAAAAAAGGTTTTTTGGTTCTTCGCTTATACTTTTTAGAAATAATGTTATTAGATTTTTAACAAATATCCTTTGTCTAAGGTAATAATGAGGTTTTTGGTAAAAACATAGAAATGGTAATTGTGTCGGTGGTTCGGTCTTTTTAGTTGTAATAAGTATTCTCAATTTGCAGGTATTGTGATTATGGGCTTCACAGCAATAATGTACAGTTGGAGAGGAAAGTAGATCACAAAAAAATGAAATCTGATCCTAATTATAACGTTAAGAATGAACCGCTGAGACGCGTAGTAAAAAGTGTACCGAATTTGCAGCTGGTTGAAAATACTTTCGGCTACATATCACTTTTTCCTATTATACTCAAATTACTTCCTCATGATTCCGAGAAATTGCATGTTATTTTGGACAATATCAAATCGGAAGTTTGTTTTAGTTGTAAATTACATGTATATATAATTTCAAATGATCTTATAACAAGTTTTAATGATCCAAAAACAAGCCTTATATATATATATAAGGCTTGTTTTTTTTATAAAAATATATATTTATATATTCTTTTATATAAATATATAAAAGAAAAAACGACACTAAGAAAATGTGCCTAGACGTAGAATGCAACTTATGTACCTTTGTTATATATTATTTTTATATGGAACAAAGACATAAGGTTTCATTTCGCGTTGTTTAGATACCTTAATTATATAGACTTGTTACAAGGTCATGTTTGTTTTCCTTAAACCAGTATGCAACATATTAGCGCCTGCTTTGGAGACCACTAATTTTCTTTTTTAATTTAATGATAATTGGTCAAGCATTGTTAAAGGGATTATGGTCTAACTTTGGTTTGCGATCCATTGCACCATCCTCACCTTACTATAAAGCTCATAATACAGAACATGACCCTCCTTATTGGCGTGGTAACATTTGGATCAATATTAATTACCTGATGCTTTCTGCACTGAAATATTATTCTTCAATCGAAGGTCCGAATCGAGAATTGGTATGTACTTTTAGTGTATCATTTTAACTTTATTAGCAAATTAATTCTCTTGTCCTCACCAAATATAGATTTGCAATGGCATAATAAGTATATAAAGGGATTTTGAAAGTTCTTTGCGTTTAGGCGTTCAATATGTATTCGGAATTACGAAACAATTTGGTTGTTAATGTTGCACGAGAATTTCGAAGAACAGGGTTTCTTTGGGAAAATTATAATGATGAAACAGGTCGCGGACAAGGTGCTCATCCATTTACTGGATGGTCTTCACTTGTGCTTTCAATTATGGCGGAGCAGTACGACTAGAATTTCAAATGATAATAATCTCTGCAAATTTTTCTTTTATAGAAATATTAACTGTAAATCACCGCCCATTAGTGTGAACGCTGATGTTTTTTAATTTTCTATTATTCATTGCTCAGCACAGTAATTCAGGTTTCGATATTAGTGCAATGAATCTTGCTAAATGTTTTTGAATTGTGATGGTCGCTACCGTCATTGAAGTGTGCTTTTTTTTGCACAAATCTAGAAATAAGCCTTAGATTATGCTCATCGTAATATTTATAATTCAGTGCAATTTGATTGACTTATTCAATATTGCTTTTTCTATTTTTAAAATTCCCACTCTTGTCCAAGTTTAATGTGCCAGAAAACTTTTTATACTTTCATTTTATTCAATGTATATGTAGGTCCGTTCGAGAACATTTCTCTAGGATTGTTAAAATTTAAGATATCTTCGATTATGAGGACGTTATCTCCATCTAGTCCACATTTCGATATATATTGTCTTTCGTAATATTTCCTTAAATCTAGGACTGTTTGTTTCACACTTCTTTTGTTTACAAAATACTTCAGTTTTTACACTAAAACTGTGGAACAACCAATCCTCGATTGTGTGTTCTGTAGTTGTTTTGGATCTATTTATTGTCCTACTGAGTGATTAAATTTTCAGTTTTTGTGCTAAAATTTTATTTCATATTAGATTTGGATTTATAACTCCATGCTCTTTCGATTTTAATTTTACTCTTGTTACTTTTTCGTATTGAAGCATTAAAAACACTTCTTGTAGAAATTCCGTAGAATTTTCGCTGACTACTTTTTGGTTTAGAAGAAAAGTTCGTTTGAGCTGTGGTCAAGGACTCGTCTTCTCAGAAAGTTTGTAATCTTAGTAACAAATTATAGTTATTAAAGTATTTTGTGACAAACTGATATGAATTAGCAAAAGAAGACAACTGGAAGCATAAATGTTACATGACGACAATAACAAATGTTGCAAGCATCTATTTTGTGGAATCAGCGGAACATTAATTAATTATTTGCCTCGACTGGAGACGAAGGTTGCATTGAGAGTCCTGTGTACTATGTCCACGTATAAAGTGCAAATAAGCAAGAATTATCACCCAATTTCCAAAGTTTGTCGTGAAGGGATATGGTAACTGCATCAAATTAAATGTTGTTAGACTTCTTTACTTAGAGATACCATTAATTATTTTACCAATCTCCATTTCAATTTGCAATATTTGGCCTTAATTAAAAAAAAAGGATGAATGGAAGTGAGCAGGGATGTCAATATGTAAGGCATCTAGTGGATAGTATAGTGAAAAGAAAAATCCATAAAGTTGACAAATGTGGAAGATCATGTAAAGGTAATGTAACATTCATATAATTCTAAACATGATAGCAAAAGATTACATACTGGCCTTTTTTGTCTTGTAGTAGTCATTCCAGAATATATAATGTTTCGGTGTTGACTCGACTGAATGATTTTTTGTTGTTGACTCGACTGAATCTCTAGCTACTTTATGTATGTCACTCAAGTATTTAACACACTAATGGACGTGGCTTTCAATGTTGTCCAACAGTGCTAAATGTGTTTTTGGAGCAGGTGAATTTTCTTTCATCAGTGTGCGAATAGTAGGCGAAACTATTCTGTTATCGTCTCTTCGTTTATTGTCCTTCATGATGCCTTATTTATTGTAGTGCTGAATAATTTATTTGTTCACGTGATAATTTGCAAATAGCTATCATAATTTCTGAATCGTAACTGTGGATTGAATGTTTATGATTATTTACTTTTCATGTGTAATAGAAATGATTTTCAGATAGTGCTGGATGTCTCAGTACAATAAAGCAGAAACGTACCGATCAAAGTGAAAAACAACTTGAAAATAGTAATTATTTTATACTAATTATTGTTTTTGTCATGCGATATGATTTGCTTGTTACATGTTTGAGAATTTATTATTTTTTACTCTTAGTTTTTTCTTTTTAAAAGGCTTGGTAAATTGTAGAATTTTGATATTTATAATGGATTATTTGCAGATGTGAAAGGTGGGAAATGGACTGAAAAAGTATTTCATAAATTTCTCATTAACTTAAATATGCAATCAATAGTTATATCTTTTGCATTGTCTGTCTTGTTGGCACATTTCGGGACTATTTGGTAAGTTCTGAATAGAATTCACTCCTTTTTTAATTGATCATATATTTCACTTTGTAGAATTATTCATAAATATGTTGTAGTAAATCGAATATTCGCTTACGACAGCAAGAATCACTTCCACCAATACCTTTTTTTCCACTGAGCTCAAGGAATTATCTTATCGATTACTATACCGGTGATGACGCAAAACCAGAAAAGTTGTTACATTACTCTGAAATTGTAATCGTTATGTATTATGCACCATGGAGCAGAAAATGCATTCAAACACGTTCAGTTTTCGAGAGTGTTGCAAGAAGTTTCAGCAAGTTTTCTGATGTTAGCTTTTTTATGCTTCTGCATATTCTTATTGATAAGGAAAAAGTAATTTCACATTTTATTTTCAAAAATAATTTATGTGATTTGTTTTCAAACAAGATAAATTCATCGCTGTATAATTGCTTAATACAGCAGCAAAGTTTTTGATTTTCGATTAGGTAATTCAAAATTTATGAAAGAGTACACAGAAATGTGTTTTTAATATGTATCCACAACAGATCAGATGTTTCTTTTTATTTATTCCTGAGTCATATGATTTTCATCTTAACAGTCGAGCTGTTAGAAATATTGCTCACGACTGTTTGGAAATGATGATGTGAAAAAAATTGTATAGGTGTCATTTGCTGCTGTTAATTGTTTCTTCCATCGTGGGGAATGTAGGCAGTCTTACACATCACATACATATCCGATCATTATTGCTTATATTGGGAAGCAAAATTTAATGTACACTGGTGTATTAGCAGCAGATTATATTTACAGGTAGGGTTTTTGATCATATGTGGGAATTTTCGCATATTTATTAAAACATGATATTACTGTTAATTCCATAGTTCCTGTGTTTTTTAGTATTCAGATATTTCAGGTGGATATCACATTTACGCAAACCTGTTCGTCGGCTTGTTACTTCATTTGATGTAATAAATTTTCTGGCTGAATTTGATAATACCGTCACTGCTTTCTTTGATATGGAGGTCAGCTTTCTGATGTCTTCTGTTTTATACTTTTTATTTCTCAAAAAAGAACTATTATTTTGCAGGTGGCATTTGCTAGTTCATATGGGTTCCGGCAATATATTAAAGCAGCACTTATGGTTTTACAGCGTCGTATGTTTTCCTTTACCGAAATAACAAATTTTAGATTCTATCGTTAATTTTATCTGTTACTTCTTTTTGCATCGTCACATGTGACAGAATCTTGTAATATATAGTTTTTATAAATTTTATTTTTGTTTTGTTATTCAAATTTGACGTTTTAATGGAGTGTTGGCAAAAATGAAAGTAGTTCAGTTTTCCATCTTTCTTTTTTGGATTCTGGAAACATTTAGTTAATGTTTCAAGAACAAAAATTTTTGTCATTGTTGTTTTATCGAGATTTTAATAATCTTATAAGATTGTCTGTATATTTGCAGATGATTTTTTGGATAAAATTGGTTTTGCTGTGGTAACTAATTCAAGTATGGCAATGACATTTAGCTCTTCCCCAAAAACTTGGATTCAGTTCACATCTTGGAATTATACTATTAGTTATACTGAATCAAGTATGACTGCAAACAAAATTTCTCAGTGGGTTACTAATCAAGTGCTAAAATTTAATGGCCTACATTGGATTACTTCAGGTTGCGTTTGGTCATTCGGTAATAACTTTAACTTGTAGATTAATTCAAAATATTCAGCATTCAGAAATGAATGGCGTCGTCAAAAGCGATGAGCTGTTATCGATTTTACAAACTAAAGCAACAGTCATTATATTTATGGATCGTCAAATACTGTATCCCTACAATTGGGCAGTGTCGATCGTGGAACAGGTGAAAATTGTGGATTTCCAGAATAATTGGAAGTGGTCATTGTTTGTCACAGAACGATTATTAATAAGGAATTTTTTTTTTAATTCATGCTTTCAAATTGCATAGCCTGTTAGTTTTTTTTTTGGCTTTATTTTTAAAGGCTAGGTCGATAAAATGTGTTTGTGAAATAATAAGAAAAGGAAATAGATGTTAAAAATTGATGATGAAAGTAGTTTTTGACTGTGCTTGACTTGGAAATTTTTTCAAAAGCAGGCTTCAGAGTTGTTATTGCTCATTTCAATTAATGGTCTGTAATAGTTGATAGATCTGTTATATTAATTTTTTTTCCCACAAAATGATTGCTCTCTAGACTATCATGGAATACTATGCATGTGGCTCTAATTTAACTGATAAGCTGAGATCAAGATCAAGCAGATTCAGTGCGTTAACCAAGGAAAGGAGTTATATGATTGCAGCGAGTACCGTCAAGTGCCCAAAAATTATTGCGTATGCCAAAGAAGTTGGTTTTTTTTTATTAATCATAATTTTAACTTTTAAGTAGAAAATTGTCATGAATAGGAAATGGTGCAAATAGAAATCTATCAAGAAATACTCATTTCCAGGTTCTCAAATGCTGTTTGGCTGAGAAAACATCTTTAATATCACACTGTTTTCAATGTCGCTTTGTAGAGAGTTTTAAAAACAGCCGAAGCTGCAGTCGGCCTCCGTTATTTGCTTTTAAAAACCGCACGCTTTTATTTCACAATTTTTTCTGCTTGAATATTGTTTCTGCGCTCAAAGAAGGTATTTTGTGGTCGAATTCTTCCATCATAAGTATTTGTAATTCAATGATTTATTTATATCATTTTTGAAATTATGAAGGGCGCTTATATCAAATTCACAGCACTATTCTAATTAACAGAATCAGTTTTCTAATTTTTTCAGAAAAACTATTGAATACATGCTGCGCACTCTTTTTCTCAAAGAATTACGAATGGAATTCATCACAGAGTACTTTTGAACAATGTGCCAAGTATAGACTTGCTCGAAATCTTTACCGACGTATTTCTGATTCATCTCCATCAATTCGTGATGCATTTGATGAAACGTCGATTGCTGGTCTGTCGTGTGATAAAAATAATTCGCTTCGGTTGGTGCGTTATCACTTCATTTTGGGAGTTCGTTCACACCACTTGATTCTTCGTGTTATGATAATCATGTAACGCAGATTTCTGAAAACGATTGATTTGAATTTTCTTGACTGCCTATATATATGGCAACCGCCCATTGTGACTAAGAAATTTCAAAAATGATAGGTTTATTGGTGTAGATGCTCGATACGATGACAGTATACTAAAGCGATTAAATATACACTACACTGGCAAGCCTGTTGCATTGATTGTAGATCCACGCACTGAAAGGGTTTTTCATATGCAATCCGAATTTTCGGGGTAATTGATTTTCTTTCATTTTTCTCTGTTCCATTCCACAATCTAGATTCATTCCTATTATTCCGTTGCTTGTTCTCGACGCTCATTTTCCACTACCTTTGAAACCAATTTTTATACGTTAAGAAAAGGATCTGAAAATTTAAAAAATATGTCACGGATTTATAGGCAAACTTTCCGCAATTTTCTACTTGCGTATCATGTTGAATCACTAAAACCTCATCTGTTTTCACAAAATGAACCGAACAGTACTGAGTCCGTTAATAGTGACTTATCATTTTTATCGAGCATATCTGGAAAATCATTTGCAGCATTAGATGTGAGTATATGTTATTTAATGCTATTTTCTACTCTTTCACAACATGCTTGTTATATGGCAAATTATCTGTTGTGACTAAGAAATGTATTTATGATTTCTGAAAACAGTTTCTCAGATGTCAAAAGCAATATACATATTGTTATAATGTGCATATGATTTATCAATGTTGCTGCGGTGATATTAAAACTTTTAAGAGAAGACATGAGGATACTGTGATATTCTTCTCCGGAGGAAGCTGGCATGGACCAAGTGCTTCTATAATTCATATTTTCCACACAGTCGCTCATTATTTTCATCCATTTGTCAAATTGATCAGGTTCCAAATGTACGATTTTATTCATTTTGTTTATTTGAAACTGATTAATGTGGTTGTTTGATGTTATTTCTTAAGAATTTGGGAATAGTATTCTTTTAAAAGCGTTTCCTTTTCAGAATCGATGTGTCATTAAATGAATTGTCTTGGCAGTTCCAGATGGATACTTTACCAGCAGTTTTGTTTTTTCCGGCTGGAAGGTTACTAATTACTTTGTATTGCTATCACAGAAAGTTTAGTTTGAAGTAACTGGTAAATTTGTTTTCCTTCTTTCATTACATAATAATAAATTTTTAGGCAATCATCCTCACGATTTCCTGCTACATTGCCATTAACTGTTCCGAATTTAATATCGTTTATCGTCACCAAGTGTCAGAAAGAGTTACGTTGGCAACTGGCCTTGTCTTCTTGCTCAGCTGTGTGTCTCAAAAGAAATTATGAACGTTTGCTAAAGATTTCTGGTTTAATAAGAAACGACATAACATCATTAAGATTACATGCGTTTTCCAACTATCATTATTCTGTTCTTTTCCAACGTTTAGTGCTAAGGTATGTCTGCGAAGTCTTTTATTTATTTCGAAAAATTATAATTCTTAATCTGTTTATAGACGTTTATTTTTACAACATTGGAGTTGTAATATAATTTTATGGCTTCCAAGCAGTTGGACTTGTTTATTCATGTATTTTATATCTCAAAAAATTTTTTTAAGGCGCTCAAAACAACTTCGTTATACTCGGTGGCTTCTGAAAACAATATCGACGCCCAAGGTTTTTTGACGTCAGTTATTACATAATAAATTCGTAAGAGATTTACTGCCATCTTTCATCCTCAAAACTTGCTCAACTTTATAAAATTGTTCTTATTGTTTCTTATTATTCTGATGTTAATTATGTGTAGGTAGTGTAATGATTATTCCATTTTATTACTGTCGATCCACCACATTTTTGTTGACATATTTGGGGAAAAAGTAGTTCTAGTTCGGATGTTAGAAGAGTCCCTTTCACTGTTTGGTATATTAAAAATTTTGTAATGTACTTATTTACTTTCTATTTGGTTTATTTCATAATTTAAGCAGTTTCAAATTAATTATATTTGTATGTATGAAAATACTGTGATGCTTATGGATTACTGATTATATAAGCTGGTGAGTTTTTTGATTTTTTAATCAGTTTTGGCTGTATATGTTTTCTTTATAATTTCAGTGGGCTGTTTTTATAACTCTTCCTTTTTTACATCATAATGCAATGAATGTTTGGTTTTGGTTTTGTTCCTTCATTTTTATTAATTTAGCTTTGTATTGAGGAGTAGTTTATAACATGGGGTGTTATTTGTACATCCTCAGAATTTGCGCTGGGATTTCATAAATAAAATTTCGGTTTTACTTTGTTCATAACACTTGTAAACAGCATCCATGCGTTCCTGACTTTGACTGTTTTTTAGTGGAAGTTTCAATTTGTTTGACTTGCTTTATTTATTGTTGAATTAAATTATAATGCGATGACTCATGCTAAATGTATTCGGTTAGTTGCAGAAAGGTGTGCATATTTTTAAGAATTCTTGGAAGAGCATCATATTTTATACATGCTTATTGTCACGGCAAAATATGACCTACGTGTTAAAATTTGGAAATTTGTGGAAGCAGTCAGTATACGATGATAGATAAATTCAACAATAATAATGCGAGATGATTGGTAGTCTTCAAGTGCAATTGAAAGGAAATTACACGAATGCGGGAAACTCATAGTTTTCTGCATTAAATTCTTAGGCATTTGCTATCACGTTTCATATTTTGTAAATTTTATGTCGAAGATCGTGAGAGTGCCGAGTTATGTGTGATATTTGATAGGTTACATTTGGAAGCATTGCAAAAGTTTGCTAATATGAAATTAAACAAATAATTGCATTTAATTTTCGCTAACTCGAAAGAGCACAAAGTATTGTTTACATATAACGAGGAGTTTGTGTAGACATGTTTACAGAATACTGCAGATTTTCCGTTTTTGTTGAGAAAAACAGAACTGAGCTTACATTTCTCTTCATACTATCTTTGTATTAGTTGCAATAAATGCAAATTGAGCAGCAGTCCTGAAAGTGTTTGCTGGATTTCATCCTTTGAGAATTAGTTTTCGAACATCTAAACATTCTTATTGATATCATATTTCAAAAGGGGAAGTGAAAATAAATGTGTAGTTTGCTGAAATGTCACTCGGAGACACTGTAAACTGTAACAGTATTGTCGTGGCAAGTATTGTAAAATTACTAATGGGGTTGGCAATGTTTTGAACATGATAATCTGCAGTTCAAAATAACAGAAAAAGAAGGGGAAAGAAGTATTATAAATGCAGATCTACATCAGTAATCATAAAATTCTCTCCATATTTAACTTGCACCATCACAAAATTTCTATTTTTTTCGTTCTCTTTCAGTTTTTAATGTAAGTAATATTAATATTTATTCCTGTAGGTCAGTAAGAGTGGTAGAGCTAGATTTTTCTGCTCAGTGAGGTCACAAAATAGTAGTGAAGTTTCTACAGTTTGCATCATAATTAGGATGTTATGTAGAGGAAAGCAATTTGTCTTTAGTTTTAGTTTTTAACTATGGTTTTCACTTGTGATACTGTTTTTGTTGGCTGTGCGTAAATATATTAATAATACGGTCGGTGTATTTTTTTTTTCCTTGAAAGAATATCTTCACTGGTTCGCTAAATGTAGACTTTAGAACTTTCAAATATTTGTACACATGCTTGGTTGTGCTTATGTATGCAGATGGTTCAACTGATGGATGTATATATATCCATCTCTGCAGTATAATAATATTATTATAATTTGCTCGATTCACAGCTTAGAGAAGAGTTATTCTTCTCAAGCAAAATAAGCCTACTGAAACATTTTTTTTGTTTTGTTGTTTGAACTAAATAGAAAAACAAGTTTGGTACAGTGCTACAAAGTGAATAATCTGATGCGTAACATAAATAATTTATTGTATTTGTTGATAAGATTTATAGCTTATCCAGGGAATACAATAGTTTTCAATCATTATTCTTTGTTCTCATCATTTCTGTCTTTCTGAAAATGAATAACGATGCTCTCTCCCTACTTATAGCTTGCAAATTTTTACTGTTTACAATAGACTTTTTTTTTTAATTGTAAAACTATTTCTAGTTAACTGCATTGTATCTTCCCAACAAACATGTCTTGTATTCTTGACTAGTAAAGTATTCATGAAAGTTTTTCAAATATATTGAAATATTTGAGATTTAAAAGGTGTGAAAAATGATTTGGAGTTGCTATGTTGCCATATGCTAATATTCTCACGTAGCTATTAACATAGGCAAGTAATTTATCGCTATTACTAATCTGGACAACGAGGTACTTGTCACAGTATTGATACTGCGAAGAGTACATCATTTGTATATTGCTCCTCTCTTAAACCTCTGTTTATTTTCACATCGATTTCATGACAACAATATCAATTTTCAACTTACAACCTGTTTACAATTACAGATTTTTGCTTCACATATGTATATCATTCGCATACAACATGAATGTTCTCTTCGATATATTATCTCCTGTGTTTATTGCTTATTCTCTTGCTAATAATAAAAATACATAATTAAATTGAGTTTGTAAAAAGCAGCAAAGTCAAGTATAATCCTCCTCATCTCAACTGTTGTAACACGTTAGATGGCGTGAGGATCAAGAATAACCTTCAGCCATATTATCACTGATTAATGGAACATAGTACTCATATATTTATCAGTAAGAATAACGTTAGTATTATTCATTTGTATTTATACTGATTGCCTAAAATTCCGTATTAAAGACGTCAAGGTCTGTTCGGTTCTGCAATCAAACCTAGACAGTACTGGTGAATAACTGAATTATAATTTGTTTCAAAAGGCAGGAGCTATTTTAAATGAGGGACAGTGGTTAGTTATCCATGGATCTGTTGATTGACGCTAAAATCGTAGAGATGAGAGTTCCATGAGCTTGCTTAAAACTATTATATCAGTTATTCTTCGACTCAGGAATGAAAAAGTATCACCGATATCAAATTTGTGCCTGATTTACAAAAAGCAGATTTGTACGTAAGTAAATGAAGTTCTGTTTAGGAAATTATCAAATTGAACATAGACTCTGGTTTTATCTGAATATGTAGATGTTAGTTTGCTTATCTGCGAGAAACTAAGAACTAGACTTTGTCCAGAAATCAAATGTACGGTTGAAAGCTTAAAGGGACTGATTTTGCTAAAGAATGTTGCAGACACGTGTATTCTAAGTTACTGTGATATAAATTCTAATAAGATTTCATTAAAACATTTACTAATCGTGTTTAATGAACGTTATTACTGGAGCACGAATGACAAAATCTTTATGGTAAACCACTTCGAAATACATGATAATATTAACCATGAAACAGGAATGTTATTATAGGCGATTAAACTGAAATATGAAGTCTTTTGAATGCAGTCTTTTTTCCTTTACAAAATATATAAATTTTCTTTCTTTACTATTCTATTACAGTACAGATATTAAATGCTCGAAATATGCGTCACATAAGTTTATTTATTATTGCTAGTGTAATTATGGCTAGTGTATTATTGCTAGTGTATTTGTAATTTTGTCAAACATTTCTCTTAAATCAAAAATATACGATTTTAGTTTCTTCTTGTGCATTCCATACGAAGCAGTAAATTATTAATAAACAATGTCTTCTGTAAAGTGTTGCTCAGAAATTGATAAGCACGACATGCGCATTTGGCAGGAAAAAGAATAATGAAATGTCAAGAAATGCAAGAAACAAAGTTCAAAAGAATTTTTCAGCCATCATGACGGGGTGCAAATGATAAATTTTGTTCTTCCATTTCTTCAGAGGGAGTTGATTAATGTAAGTGATTATGAATAACTGGTGCTTGGATATTTACTGCAACAAGAATCAAAGCATATTATCATTTAATGTAAATAACGTGGGGAAAATGCTAAACTCGGCGATCGATATATTCAGTTGCCATGCAATGCAGCAGGTAATACATGATACATTATAAGCTAAGAGAATGAAGTTCACTAAATGATTCCATATTGTTGATACTCTCAAAAAAGAGTAGCAATAGATAATAGTAGAAGAGTAGGAACAAAAGTAGTGTTTCTTATCAAATTTTTTGATTACATATGTGTTTAGTGTTGCTGAAGCATATTTTTGTTCTCTAACCAATTTCTTAATTTTTGAACTTAATTTCATTCAGGATTAAATTAGTAGATCGCACATTAGTAGATCTAATTGAACTCGTACTGCCATCTCCAAAGTAGTAGAAACTCTACCACTAATTGGTTTAAACTCATTTTACTTTCAGTAGTGAATGTGCGCGAGAATTTGTTACTGATTTATTTAATGAGGCAACACACAAAAGATAAATCCCTATTATGAGAAGGGATCACTAATCAAACATAGATTTATGAGATTATAGCTGGTATAATGGGTCTATAAAAAATGATAAGGTGATGATAGTAATAGAACATACAAAGTGTATCTGCGAAGTAATAGTAGTGCGCCAACAATATATCTGAGAAATAGTAGTAGTGCGCCAAAATATCTGAGAAATAATAGTAGTGCGCCAAGAATATATCTGAGAAATAGTAGTAGTGCGCCAAAATGTCTGAGAAATAATAGTAGTGCGCCAAGAATATATCTGAGAAATAATAGTAGTGCGCCAAAACTATATTGAGAAATAATAGTGCGCTAAAAGTATATCTGAAAAATAAAAGTAGTGCGCCAAAAC